CGCCGCAGCCTGTCCGTGTCGCAGTCCAGCAGCCGCTCTCGAGCTTGCCCGACGGGCTCACTGCGTGCTTGTACCACCTGTACTGCAACGCGCCCGACCCGCCGGCCAGGCTGATCTGGAACTCGACCGTCTGGCCCTCGAGGCAGCTCACGACGCCGGCCTCAGGGGCCGCCCAGCGAAGGCGCAGCTTGGTGAGGGCGCTGTGCAGGACCAGGCTGGGCCGAGGGTCCAGGCCGAACTGCTCCAGGCCCGCCACCTTTAGGTCGTTGGCCTGCAGCACGTCGGCCGTCATACCGGCGGTGGCAAGCTGCAGGGCGTGGCGCTTTCGGTCGGTCTGCGTGAAGACGCGCACCTCTTCGAACACCTGGAGTATGCCGTAATACTCTTCGAGTACTGCTTCATCGAGCCCCTTGAGGTCGGTCTCGCCCATCTGCGCAAGTTCTGTATCTCTCTCTCTCTTTCTCTTGTTTGTGACGAGGTTGAAAGTGCAGCTTGGTGCGGCGTGAGTTCGTCGAAGTTCTTCTTCTTATGTTTTTCTTAGTGCGAAGTGGCGATTTCCTCCCACCTGGGTTTTGGTGCAAGTGACCTACCTGCTTTGCTCTCATCGTCGACAATTAAATTTCACACGCAATGCTATGAATGTCCACCGTGACCTGGCGCGACCAGAGCGGGCGTGCACACGCTGCCTCCGGTGTCTCATCTACCACCTCTACACTCGAAGGCATGCCAGTCCTGCGCACGGCCCTCACCGAACACGTGCGGCGCCGCCGAGACAACATGATGCTTGATGTTCGCAGGCGCCTTCTTCTAAAGAATAATATTCAATTGACAGTCACAAGGTGGATTGCCTTCCTTTTTTTTACTTGCGGCCAGACGATGATGAAGAGGACGAAGAGCTGCGTAGTTCCTTTTGGTTGCGCTTCTTGTGGAGCGAGGAGAGCATCTGGACGGTGAGGTCGATGTCGGGCCTGGCCTGGCGGAGCTGCGCGACGGCCGCGTCGGTGGTCTTATTGCAGCCCATCGTGAGCGCGCGCACCGACGTCGACTGCGCGATGGCGTCCAGCGCCTCGTTCTTGACGAAGCGGCAGCCGAACATGTTGAGGCGCTGGAGCGGCAGCTTGCGGAGAATGCGCAGCAGCGACGCGTTGTCGATGTTGTGGCAGTTGAACAGGTCGAGGTCGGTCAGGAACGGGCAGCCGTCGGCCAGCCGCACGATCTTGTGAATGCAAAGGCAGTGCGACAGGTCGAGCGACGTGAGGAAGTGGCAGCCGTCGGCCAGGTGGTCCACGCCGCCGTCGGTCAGGCCGCTACAGCCCTTGGCCTTGAGGCCCTTGAGGTTGGTGCAG